TATCCAAACACTGGTTCACAACCCGATCGATAAGATTTATATTAAGCTTAGAGTTTGGCGACGAGACCAACATTAAAGACGCGATCACTGAAAACGTTTGACTAATTGTCAGTTCAGATATTCTGTGAGAGACGGCAGCTGTCAGTCCGTTCACCACATCGTCCTTTAGGTTATGTTTAGCGGCAGTTCTCATACATTTCACCACTAAATCCATATCATCGAAGTCTAGTTCTTTGGACTCAATCTTCAGCTGTAATACCAAAGGAATCGCTAATTTCAAGGCTTCAACCAAAGGGACGATTATCTGCTTTTTAGTTGGCTTGAAGTCATCGGAGGTTTCGTTGCCGACTAAACAGTAGATAAAAACAAAATTATAAACAAAAACACAAGTTATGTAATGATTGTTGTATACAATTGTCAATTACGGATGAATTGTTGCCCGACTCTTCAGTTTCAGTAAGTTTTCTACTGAGAAGAAAGTCCAAGAAAATGATTTCATTGATAGTAAACTCGTTGATCATTTGGCGGACCATTTGAAGCAAACTCTTGACGATCGCTGTGTTGGGCGACAGCCCTAATAAAACCATACACTTAAGTGTTGTCAACAGATCCGCCGTCTGAAAGAAACGCATCCGTCGTATGGATTGATTGCATAAATCGCTGAACTCTTTGGACGACAATATCCTGAGACAGTCGTCGTGGAAGTTGTCGGACATTCTGATGATGTCGTGCAGCGACTCAAACACATCCGACAGATGCTTGTTATTCATGACATTCACGTGCAGTGAAATCAACTCCAAGAGCTGATCCGCAGTCGTGCTCTTAATGATGGCTTCGCTTAAGACATCGAATTCACCGGAAGGCGTGTTTCGCTTCATTTGCTGCAATCGTTTGTCCCTTAAGTCACCTTTAAATGAGACAATCATTTGAAGACAATCTCAAGACACGAAATACTATCGAATAAATGATAGTAAAAATTACCCAAACTTTTGGTGCCATTCGCTGTCCTGAAGACATCGGAAGAGACCGACGATTGGGATGTGTTGTAAGCGTTGGCGGCGATGGACAGCACCTCATGTCTGGTCTTCACGTGTTTGGCATTCAATACAATTGATTGCAAACTCTTTGCCGACAAATGAATGAATCGATAGTTTAGGAAACGATTCATTACTTTATGATTGCTTTCAATTCAATTCATGTCTTCAATAAATAGTTATTTATTTATTAATCAATTTTTACAATCATTTACTCTTAAGACTTAAGTAAACACTTAAACATGTGTTTAGTTTGCATCACATTATCACATAAATAACGCCTATTTATGACAACTTTTTTCGTGTCTACAATTATGTAATGAATTGTGAACCCCGTTATAGTGAATAGAGCTACTATATGAATTAATTGTTTAATAGTACGGTACTTTTTTAAATCCTATTATTAATAAACTGTGTCCAAAGTATTTTAACCATGAAAATCCCATAGGAAACCATTATTTTCTATTTTAGTCCAAATTGACCTTAATGTCGGGAAATATTTGAGTAAATTGTACCAAAATTTTATGGCAAACAGTTTACTATTATATCTATTAATTGTGAGAGAATTAATTTCATTCACCTACCCGTCGGTAAATCACATTTTCCGGTGGCTCTACTCTCATAGGAAATCAATTACAATGCAATCAGTTTCAGATATTTTACCATTTTTACTATAAAATCAAAGAATCATTTTAATTTTTAAAAAATTATTATAGCATTGTAACTTTATATAAGACATCATTAAAACCCCATATCTATCTAAATACATATTATGTAAAAACGAAATTTTACTAAATTTGTCAAATGACTAGATTTTACCCATAAATACAATTAATTTTGATTTTGTTATTTTAAAGTGATATCATTTTCTACCATAAGTAGAGTATAAGTCAAACACGTTTTATCACCTCTTGATTTACTTAACGATTATTACCGTAAATGCCATTAATTTATATTTACAAGAAATGTATTTACAATATAGTGTTAACACTTATGTAATGTTAGGGTATATTATAATTGATGTCAATTTTTATGGGTATGAAAACCGTTTGCATAATTAGTTAGAATTTATTAAAATATTTGTTTTATTAAACGATATATTCAGACAAATGCCAGAATAGAGTAAATATGATAAATACATAATGTATTTGATATAACATTG